ACTGATCAGATGTGCAGAGAGAAGCAGAGGCAGGTGAGAACAAGAATGATGAAGGAGCTGCCTTAATTCCTGACAACTTCCCAGCCTCCAGTTCCAGGCCCTGGCAAGGTGTACTTTTACCTACTGCCCTTCAGTCCCATGAGGCACCTTTAGTTCTTTAAAGCAAATTTCCCTCAATCTCCTTGCCTGATGATCAAAAAACAAACAAATTTCCCTCCAACAGAAACAAGCTTGACAGGGTTTATGTTTCTTACAAACAATCTAAGATTATACAATTTTAGCACTAAAATACAGACACATTACAAAGCAAATTGTAAAATTCACAAGAATATTAAAAGTTAGGAAGGAAACCCTTTCTAAAGCAAGATTCAAAAAAGCAAAAGTCACAAAGGAAAAGAAAAATGTGACTCCAAAATAATTTGAACTGTGCATTGTAAGACATGATACCAATTAAGGTAAACATTCCCCCAGCCACTCCCCTTCCCCCACTGATAATATATTTTCCATGAGGATATACATTGGGAAGCATGTACATTTCCACAGCAATTACCCCTGGGGAGAATACAGGAATTGAGAGAATTGTTCATAGGCCTTTTCTGTTATGTTTTAAATTTCTTAAAATTATGCCCCCGTAATCCTACCATTTTTGGAGGCTGAGGTGGGCAGATCGCTTGAGGCCAGGAGTTCAAGACCAGCCAGGCAACATGGTGAAACCCCATCTCTACAAAAAATACAAAAATTAGCTGGTCACCTATAATCCTAGCTACTCAGGAGGTTGAGGTAGAAAAATCACCTGAACCCAGGAGGTTGAGGCTGTGGTGAGCCATGATTATGCCACTGAATTCCAGCCTAGGTGACAGAGTGAGACCCTATCTCAAAAAATAATAGGTCGGGCACAGTGGCTCACACCTGTAATCCCAGCACTTTGAGAGATGGAGGTGGGTGGATCACGAGGTCAGGAGTTCAAGACCAGCCTGGCCAAGATGGTAAAACCCAGTCTCTGCTAAAAATACAAAAATTAGTGAGGCATGGTGGCAGGCTTCTGTAATTCCAACTTCTTGGGAGGCTGAAGCAGGAGAATCACTTGAACCCAGGAGGCAGAGGTTGCAGTGAGCCGAGATCACCCCACTGCACTCTAGCCTGGGCAACAGAGCAAGACTGCATCTCAAAATAAATAAATAAATACATAAATAAAATAATAAATTATGCCCCTTGTCCAATTAAAACTGTATACATACATACATACATACACACACACACACACACACACACACACAGACCCCAACAAGACTTTGCAGATCTCCTATTTATGACAGACTGCTTCATTTGAGACCTACTGGGGAATATGTGTCCACTATCAGTTTGAGGCACATGATATAGTGTGAATTCTTAGCTCTTGTCAAAATGGCTTACTTGATTCCTAACATGCCCTCTTCCCACCAGTCTCTGAATTCACTCCCTTGTCCTCTGCACTAAGTGTCACCTCCTCCAGGAACTTCTCCCTGATTGCACCAGTCCTTACTGCTCTCTCCCTCTCCTGCTCCACTTGCCTCTTATGGTATTGACTGTACCTTTCTCTGGGGACTCAGGACAAACTCCTGGGGTTCTTAGTGATTTCCTTGTAATAGGCTGCTTCTCCCTAGTCAGTCAGCAAATCAAAGGAGCATCTTTATGAACTTAGCGTCCTTGATGTCCATAGAGATGGCACAGAGAACTGGACAGAGCTCAGTCAGAGCACAGCAGAGTCAGAGAGACCTACCATGTGACACAGGGCATTTGCCTTAACTGCCCTAGGCCCAGTTTCACCTGTTGTGAAAATCAATGAGATGATGGGCATAAAGGAGCCCAAGACAGGAAGAGGCTGGTTGATGTCATGACTATCTTAATATACTCCCTCATATTTGCATAGTGTTTCATAATTGAACACAAAAACTTTACCAGTAAGGTAAGCAGGGAGTGATTACGATATCCATTTTAAGGACAAAATTACGAGGTTCAGAGAAGTTACATAGGGAGGACAGACAGATGAACTTTAAAAGGAAAGAGAACAGGACTGGGGGTAGAATATATGAGTAGAAGTGCTAATTCTTGGCCAGGCACGGTGGCTCACACCTGTAATCCCAGCACTTTGAGAGGCCAAGGTGGGCAGATCAGATCATGAGGTCAAGAGACTGAGACCATACTGGCCAACAGGGTGAAACCCCATCCCTACTTAGAATACAAAAATTAGCTGGGCATGGTGGCACACGCCTGTACTCCCAGCTACTTAGGAGGCTGAGGCAGGAGAATCACTTGAATTGGGAGGCAGAGGCTGCAGCGAGCCAAGATTGCACCACTGCACTCCAGCTGGCAACAGTGCGAGATGTCATCTCAAAAAAAAAAGGAAATGCTAATTCTTCCACTACCCAGTCCCAGGAGCTTGGACAAGTCTGTTGGCCTCTCTGGACATCAGTTTCTCCATCTTATCTGAGAGAGTTTCTAGCTGATCTCTACGTTAAAGGGGTCCCTCAGCCCTGACATTCTAGTTCCCTGTGACCTGCCAGGGGCCTTCCCAGCAGGACTGTACAAAAGGGCTGCAAGTCCCCGAACAGGGTCCCTACTTACTCCCAGGAAACCAGCCAACTGGAAGATTTGACTTATGAATCAGTTGCATTTTGATTCAGTCAAACAGAGCTTCAAGTCTGGGGGTGGGTTAGTCATGCTCAGAACTGGGGGAAAATATTGCAGCATCAAACTACATGTAAACACAATATAATCGCAAAATATAAATGCAAATGCAAAACCAAACAGGAAACCTCAGGGAAGTCTAATCCAAAGGTCAGATTAACTTTTTGGGCCCTGAAATGCTGAAGAGAAAAGCTGTGTTCGGGTGCCACAAGCCTTTCTGTTTTAACATTGAACCTCTGTGTGCACCTAACCAAAAATCTGAAGGCAAAGGAGGATGGGTTTGGGGCATAGCTGAGCCCGGAATGGAGCTTGCTGCAGCCTCCAGACCCAGTCTAACAGCCCACTTCCCAACACACACAGTGCTTACACTTATACAGTCAAACAAGGCCAGATGCATGGGCATAAATGGGCATTTCTGTCCATGGAGAAGATTCATATTGGAGCCCCTTCTCCTGCTCTAAGGTTTTAATGAACAACCTGGAGAGAAGGGTGAACCATGAAATCCCTAAGAATGCGGATGGCACTGACTCTTCTGGGTCATGAAATGCGAGGCTATGAAGACAAACCTCAGGAAGCTCTCCAAAGGATGGGCTGGACAGCAGTGTTCCCTGTGAGCCTCCCAGTAAAATATAACCCACATCCACAGGCAGTGGACTCTAAGCTACTGGTTCTGCCCAAGAAAGGAAGCCAAATCTGACCGCTGCTTCTTATTTTAATAAAAAATGTACCCTTACTATGTGCAAAGTAGTAGGCTAAGTTCTATGAGACAAATGAGACAAGGCTAGGCTCTGTGAGACAGATGAAGACAAGAGACCCAATCCCTGTCTAAAGAAGTCTGCCAATTAACCCGAAGATAATAATTCCATTTATCAAGAGGCATGGGCCCACGTGGTGGCTCACGCCTATAATCCTAGCACTTTGCAAGGCCAAGGTGGATAGATTTCCTGAGCTCAGGAGTTCAAGAACAGCCTGACTAACATGGTGAAACCTCGTCTCTACTACAAATACAAATATTAGCCAGGTGTGGTGGCGCACTCCTGTAATTCCAGCTGCTGGGGAGGCTGAGAAATGAGAACTGCTTGAACCCAGGGGGCAGAGGTTGTAGTGAGCCGAGATTACACCACTGCACTCCAGCCTTGGAAAGAGAGCAAGACTGCCACCCAAAAAAGATGCATGCTTTATTTACATTGTCTCATGTAACACCACAGCTCTGTGAAGTACACATTATTACCCCATTCCACAGATGACAGAACAGGTCACATGCCCACATTCACCCAAATGGCAAACTGCAGAGCCAGCGTTTGAACACAGGTCTGCCTTCCCCAAAGTCGATGCTCCTTCCACAATCCTCTATCACCCCTACAAAGTGATACAAACAGACTCTGCCAAGAAAGAAGAGGAGGAGAGATTTCCCGACACTGGCCTAGGGTGTTATGAAATACTGAGCTTTGTATCTGCCGCACAGTGGGTGCCCAGTACACTTAGGGTGAAGGGTGGAAGGCTAGAGCCGTTGCTGAGGTCCAAACACCACCCAAATTCAGGGCATCCTTTGGAGGGGAACTGCAAAACCACATTACTCTCTGTTGGACCAAGGCCACGGGGTGTCTGCCCTAGAATATTCCCCGCAGAGGAGCTGGGGGAAAGCTGCAGCAGGTTCAAAGAAAAGAAATGGAAGGAACTCCAAAGAGCATGGGAATGGGGTGGGGCAGCCTGCAAGGCCGAAAGAAAAGGCCTGGGACGCTTTGCTGGGAAATACAAAGAGGAGAGGGGAGGGGAGAGGAGACGATAAACTTGCCAACAGCCGGGCCAAGGTGAACCCCGGCTCCTGGCGCCTTCCCATCCGAATTCATTCCGAAAACTCGGGCCAAATCTTCGAACCAGCCGCAAGGGGGAGGGGACCACCCTGCAGCCTGGAGGAAGAAAGTTCAGGACTGAGGCGGGAAGCCTGCTTCTCAGAAGGGGAGTGACTGGGGCGGGGGTTGGGGGGCACACTTGTGGAGCTCCGAAGATGAAAGCGCAAACTGAGGCTGGAAGGCGCTAGGCAAACACATTTGTGAAGAGGCAGTCATGCGAGGTACTTGGGGTACCTCCCCCAACCTGTAGAGTTTGTCATCGAAGTGACCTCGAGGACCCCCAAAACGGTCCCTCGGGCCTCCCCGCCGCCTCGACGGTGAGAACGCAGCTGTTGAAGAGGCGCTCGGTCCTCCCAGATCTAGGGAAGGAGCAGGTTTCGGGGCGCGGTCTGAAGGGCCGTCGCAGTTCGGGTCACGCCTGTGGAAGTCAAGGCCAGGCCAGGCGCCGACCCCCGACCCCTCCCGCCTCGGCCCCCTCACCTCCTCCCGCGCCAGCGCCGCCCCCCGGCACCGGGACATCTTGGTGGCGAAGGCGGCGGCCCCAGCCGGGGAGCTGATGTCCTCTGCGGTGGCGGCCAGGAACTCGGCGATGCTGAACTGCTCTGGCATGGCGGGCGCGGGCGTGGGGCTCCCGGAGCGGGGCGCGGGGGGCGCTGCGCAGTTCCACACAGAGCCGGCCTCACAGCCAGCCCGGGGCACCTTCCCGGCCTCCGCACGCCCCGCCCCCGACCTTCCAGCAGCTCTCGGATCCTCAGCTGGGACTGCCCCGCCCCCGGTCCCCCGCTGGCCTCCACGGCCACGGCCCTTGCCCCCGCCCCCGCCTCAGGCACCGCCTCCGGCTAGCCGTCCCGCCCCCGGCCCCACGCCGGCCCCTTCGGCCCCGCCCCCAGCCCGTCAACGCCTCAGCCTCAGGCCACGCCCCCTGGCTCGATGCCCCGCCCCTGGCCCCCGTCGAAGTTCCTCCCTCTTCCCGCATCCCCGCCCCTCCACGACTGTATCCCCTTTCATCCGTCTCTGGGTCTCCCAAATCCTCCTCCCTCGCACGGCCCAGGCTGCCCCATCTCCGCACTCCATCTGAGAGCCCTCTGCCTCTTCCTCCCTCCTCTGCAGATTTGTTCCAAGTACCCCATGACTTCGCCCCTTCTGCCCTACCCCCAACCCGCCTTCCCCTCTCCCCACAGCCCGCCAAGTCTCCTTGCCTCGCTCCGCCCCAATCGCCCCGCCCCTCCCTTGCACCACACGCCCAACTCTCAGCCTCAGCTCCACAAGCATCCACGGACTCCCTCCGGCTAACCCCCGCCGCCCCGGGAATGTGTGCTTCCGGGCCGCTGGCTAGCTGTGTGACTCGGGGAAAATTTCTTCTCTCCTCGCAACCTCAGTTTCCTTGTCTGTACAATGGGAAGCCTGATGCCTGCTTGGTTGTGATGTTGCGAAGAACCGAACACGTGCGTGTGCCAGTTCCCTCTTACCAGACCGTCGATCGCACCCATGCCTTTATCTTCCTGCGCCTGCCTTTCACCCCTTAACCTGGCTCACTATCCTTTGGGGCGGATGAGGGATGGGGTTCAGGATAGAAATCCACTTAGGTTTAGTTTTGAGGCCTGAGGTTCTCCAGGGAAGAATTCTCCAAGTAAAAAAACCAAGAAAGCACCGCGGCAAGGAACATTGGTTTGGGGAGTCAGAGGAACTTAGATTCCAATCTTGGTTACTTTGGATAAATTGCTTGCTCTTCTAAGCCTAAATTTCCTCCTCTTAAAATAGCCTCATGCTATTTAACCCAACGGGGCGGCTATTGAGAGAATCTCTTCTTGCATAGAAAAGAAAAACCAAAATCCGGAAAGATTTGCGCTAAAATGTTACTAGCTGAAGACATTATGAGTAATTTTCTTTTCTTTTGGTGAATCTATATATCCTAACTTTTATACAATGACCATATACTACTGTGTAATAGAATTAAAAGTCGACAGGCGTGGTGGCTCACGCCTGTAATCTTAGCACTTTGGGAAGCCAAGGAGAGTGGATCGTTCAGGGGCTCAGGGGCAGCCTGGGCAACATGCTGAAATCTTGTCTCTGTAAAATATACAAAAATTGGCCAGGCGTTGTGGCTCTTGCCTGTAGTACCAGCTACTTGGTGGGCTGAGGCAAGAAGATAGCTTGAACCTGGTAGGTCAAGGCTGTAGTGAGCTGAGATCGTGCCACTGTACTCCAGCCTAGATGACAAAGTGAGACCCTGTCTCAAAAAAAAAATAAATAAAAAGTTGAAAAAATGTGTACCATCTGATAGATGAGACAACTACTCCAAGAGTACTTTCAAAGTCATCTAGGATCTTCTCCTTTTGAAACCCAACAGGTATTTTTATTTTTATTTATTTTTAGAGGTGAGGTCTCCCTCTGTTGCCCAGGCTGAAGTGCAGTGCAATGCTCACAGCTCAGGACAGCCTCAAACTCCTGGGCTTGGGCCCTTTTCCTGCTTGACTTCCAGGAGCATCTGACAATGTTAACCACTCCCTTCTCCGTGAAACAGCCTTGCCCCTGAATCCTAGAACTATTTTCCTTGGTGGCCCTCTTCCCTCTGGCTGCTCCAAGAGCCCTTTCTGAGATGTACTTCCTCTGCAGGGATCTTAAATGCTGGCAGCGTTGGGAGCTCTCTGCTAAATCCTCAGCACTTCTCGCCCTATCAGCCTTCCTGGATTCTTTCATCTAAGCCCAACCGTAATGCTGATGTCTTCTGTACCAGTTTCCTGTTGCTGCTGTAACAAATCACTACAAACATGGTGGCTTTAAACAACACGCATTTATTCTTTTACATTTCTGGAAGTCACAAGTCTGAAATGACTTTCGCTGGGCAGAAATCAAGGTATTGGTGGGGCCGTACTTCCTCTGGAGGCCCCTAAAGTAGCATTTATTGTCTTGCTTTTGCAGCTTTGAGAGCCGTATTTCTTGCATTCTTTGGCTTGTGGCACCTTCCACCTTCAAGGGCAGCAGCAACTTCAAGCATCTTACTTGCTTTCTTCCCTGTGGTCAGATTTCTCCCAGGCTCCTCTCTTTTTTTTTTGAGACAGAGTTTCACTCTTGTTGCCCAGGCTGGAGTGCAATGGGGCAATCTCGGCTCACTACAACATCCACCACCTGGGTTCAAGCAATTCTCCTGCCCCAGCCACCTGAGTAGCTGGGATTACAGGCATGTGCCACCACGTCCCGCTAATTTTATTTTCGTAGAGACGAGGTTTCTCCATGTTGGTCTGACTGGTCTCAAACTCCTGACCTCAGGTGTTCTGCTCACTTGGGCTTCCCAAAGTGCTGAGATTACAGACAAGAGCCACAATGCCCAATCCCATCTTTTTTTTTGAGGCAGGGTCTTGCTCTGTAACCTCAAGCAGTGGAGTGATCATAGCTCACTTAAGTCTCAACCTCCTGGGCTCGAGCAATTCTCCCACCTCAGCCTCCCAAGTAGCTGGGACTGCAGGTGCATGCCACCACACCCAGCTAATTCCACCTCCCTCTTTTTTTTTTTTAAAGACACGATCTTGCTCTGTCCCAGGCTAGAGTGCAGTGGCATGATCTCAGCTCACTGCAACCTCCGCTTCCCAGGTTCAAATGATATTTGTGCCTCAGCCTTCTGAGTAGCTAGAATTACAGGCATGTGCCACCACACCCAGCTTTTTTTTTTTTAAGATGGGGTTTCACCACGATGGCCAGGCTGGTCTTGAACTCCTGACCGCAGGTGATCCACCTACCTCGACCTCCCAAAGTGCTAGGATTACAGGTGTGAGCCATCACACCAGGCTTTTTTTTTTTTTTAATAGTAGCAATAGGCTTTTACCATGTTGGCCAGGCTGGTCTTGAACTCCTGACCTCAAGTGGTCTGCCTACCTCTACCTACCAAAGTGCTCAGCCACCCTCTTATAAAGACACCTGCGATTACATTTAGGGCCTATCCAGATAATCCAGGATCATCTCCCCATCTCGAAATTCTTAATTTAATCACATCTACAAAATTTCTTTTGCTACATAAGTGCCATCTACTTGTTCCATGGATTAGGACCTGGATATCTTTGGGAGCCAATACTGAGCCAACCACATCTTCCAAGGCTATATCTCCAGCCTGGACCCTTCTCTAACTCAAGATCTATGACAGTTTCACTTCACTGCTTCACAAACACCTGAAACTCTACAGTTCCAAAACTGAACTCATCATTTCATACGCCCACCCCTTGCACCAGATTCTTTTCTGCCCCTGTCTTGATAGAAGGTATCACCATGCACCCCCCTCGGGGTCATCCTTTCCTCCCTTCTTCTACCAACCTCCACTCAAACAAGTCTTGTCACTAGTCTCACCAATGAGACCACCTTCTCCATCTGCAGGCCAACCCCAGTCCAGACCACCGCCACCTCTCACTTCCTCGCTGGTCTCTCTACCCCTATCGTGCATATTTGTTCTGCTGCTCCCTGCTTACAACTCTTCAGTGCTTCCCATTGCTCTCTGAATAAAAGCTAACCTTCTTTTCATGGATGTCTAGCCCTCCTTGGTCTTGCTGCTCCTGCCATTCACAGGCTGATCTCCCACCTCCCCATCCCTGCTATGATTGAGCCCCTTCACTGTCCTCCATTTTGTCTGTAATGCTCTCCCATCTCCTTTCAGCTGGCCGACTTAGATGTCAATTCCTCCAAGAAGCCTTCCTTGCCGGGTACAGTGGCTCACACCTATAATCTCAGCACTTGGGAGGCCGAAGTGGGAGGATCACAAGGTCAAGAGTTTGAGACCAGCCTGGCCAACAGGGTGAAACCCCTTAGCTACTAAAAATAAAAAAATTAGCTGGGCGTGGTGGCGTGTGCCTGTAGTCCCAGCTACTCAGGAGGCTGAGGCAGGAGAATCCCTTGAATCCGGGAGGTGGAGGTTGCAGTGAGCCGAGATTGCACCATTGCACTCCATCTCAAAAAAAAAAAAAAAAAAAAAAAAGCCTTCCTTGATGTCCTCCTTATTCTGGACTCCTATGAGACCCAGTATCCCCCACCACAGCAGTTACCACTGTGGGCTGTAATCATCTGTTTTCTGGTCTGGGGCTCTGACCCACCTATTTATTTATTGAGCATTTACTATATACCAAAGGGCTAAGGGCTATACAAGCCGTAGCTCACTAAATACACACTCAATACTCACAGCAACGCTATGAGGTAGGTGACGTTACACTTCCCATCTCAGTAAAATTAAAGCCCAGAGAGGTTAATTTGTATAAAGTCAGAATGAACAAGTAATATAACCAGGATTCCATCCCAGGTCTGCGTGATGTCAAAGCCTTTTTTGTTTTGTTTTATTATTATTATTTTGAGACAGGGCCTTACTTTGTCACCTGGGCTGGAGTGCAGTGGCATGATCATGGCTCATTATAGCCTCAACCTCCAGGGCTCAAGGGGTCCTCCCATCTCAGCCTCCCAAGTACCATAGTTGTGTGCCACCACACTGGGCTAATTTTTAATTTTTATATGGAGGTTGAAGGGAGGTCTCACTTTGCTGCCCAGGCTGGTCTCGAACTGCCAGGCTCAAGTGATCCTCCTGCCTCAGCCTCCCAAAGTGCTGGAATTATAAGTCTGAGCCACTGAGCCTCACCATTCTCTCTCTCTCTTTTTTTTAAAATATATATTTTATTGCACTTTAGGTTCTGGGGTACATGTACAAAACATGCAGGATTGTTGCATAGGTACATACATGGCAATGTGGTTTGCTGCCTCCATCCCCCAGTCACCTATATCTAGCATT